GCACAGACCGGAGCTTCCGAGAGACTTGGGAGAGCACGATGTTGCGTCATTATTATGACACGTTGCAAGAGACTCTGAACATGCATGAAATCCGTGTGCAAATACCTTCATGGTCAGAACTAATCGAAGGTATGGAGGAACAACGTCTAGGCGCCGTTATTGCCACAGTATTCTTCTTTCCTACGGTTTTAATGAACGATAATCTTGCCGCGCAATTAATGAACAATCCGGCGTCTTACGTCAAATTCTATTTTCGAGACAAGAAAGAGTTTGTTCTCTCAAACATGAAGAAAGATCCGGTTTATAATAAAAGGATCAGCGAAGCTGTCATCGAACTCGCCGAACTTGCTTCACGATTAGACCAATTACCGAAACCATCTTAATTAAATTAGGTATATACTTTATATAGTTGATTTGCACACATCCAAATTTTATTAACGTTTCATCGCTATACTTTGTATGTCTTTTATATATTTTATTTTACAAGAGTTGTATTGATCAATAATCGATAATTTTATTATCTTACCATCATAGTTCGCACAATAATTTTTACATGAATCAAAGAATGTTAGCTTGATCGGGAAATATAGCAGATAGGAAAGACCAGTCATGACTGATAAGCTGTGCGTTTGCATCTTCATCCATATCCTCTTTCTCATTCGTCGACGTGATCACAGGTTTCGACGGCGGTAATACCTCGATATCACTTACATCTGAAGCATTGTCCTGACTATCGTCATCGCTATCTCTGAAAATTATAAAAGAATAAATATATATACACAATGTTTATTCACATAAAGCAAAGTAACAAAATCTGACAACTTTAACAAATGTAACTTGCACAAGTTTATTCTGTATACCTAGAGTTTTCAGCATTTCTTGAATTTTGATTTTTTAATGGTTGTTGTGCCAGCGACAAAATAAATGACGTGCACAACAATCTCATCGGTGGCAAAGTGTGAGCTGGAACGCTAAGTAACTGAAAAACAAGAACGATGATAAATGTTAAGTGATTGTAAGCGAATATACTGTGAAACTATCGATAAAAAAAAAAAACCATTAATAGAATGCTTCGGTCGCGAGATAAGTTCAAAAGTATGTTTGCCACGTATGCGGTACTTGTGACAATCGGTCTGTCAGATGACTGGTTAATTAGTTTTAAAGCTGACACACAGCACACCTCCAAGTGAAATTTGTGCAATTCCTGCAATCTTCTACTTCAGATCTAGGTTGATTCGTCTGTTGCAACCCACACGAATATTCTCCGTAACGTGTACACTTTAGTGACAAATGCGCATATATATATATATATGTATTATAGTCGAAAAATTAAAATGCACTTTAATTTTGTTGATAAATATCTGCTGTTTGATAACAAGTTTAATAACAAGTTTATATTGTTATATTATTAAGTACAGCAGAGGAGAGATTTTCTTTCAAATAAATGAATACTTTAAATAATACATTAATTCAAAAAATTATGCAGATTTAGTACTCCTTTAAAAATATTTCAAAGAAAAATGTTTTTATCTCTCACAAGTAGCAATAATTACTGACAATATGATGTATTTAGCCTATGATGTACATATGATGTATTTAGCCTATATCTATATTATTTGGCATTTCTCATTTCAGGATGACGCGATCATCGATCAATTTCAAAGAATCATGACGACAATATTCGCAAAGCTGTTCATACGAAAAATGACTGAGATGGTCAGAATATAGCTTATTATCACTATAATCAAGACAATTACGTAAAGTCTGATGTTTATGACGTGTGACGCAGTTATTCATAAAGTACTTATTAAAATACTTGCGTATAACAATATGTGAAATATAAGGAAAGAAGATATTCTTTATTTTTAAGTGCAAAACCGCTATTTTTAGCGTAGAAAAACATGTCTAGCCTTTTCATTTAGTACAAATATTTTAATAGACTATAATTAGTGGATGTCTTACGCAGTCCAAATTGCAAAAATGATATTAAAAGACTAATATTATTAATCGAAAAATTACACCTGAAGTAGGTATTCTAGATGATCAAACCTTGGGATCTTACGAATTCTATATTCGAGGCTGAAACATATTTGCTCATTTTAATTTAGACAAATATCTAAAATAAATATATAGAACAATCTCTCGATAATAAAATAATAATAATGTGGCAAATGAAAGTAACGGCACAGTAATTAGAACGCAAATTATTAATATATTTAAAAAAATTATAAATTTGTTACATTATAATTTTTTTATAATAAACAAAATATCTCGAGAACAATGTATTTTTGAAACAAATATTTCATATAAAAGTTGTAGAGTTTGAAGAGAGCCGTCAGAATGAGCTACTTACATTTCGAATTTAGGGCCCACTTTGAAATTTGGCCCAATAAGGCTCAAATTTTTTTTCTAGGAGCACTTACATTTTATTGCAGATTCGTATTCTATATGGAAAAAAAAAAAATAAAGAAATTTGTTCTTAATAATTTTTCACTAAATTTCCCTTAATAAGTGCAAAATAATGTTCAAAGTTCTTATTTTGAATACATACCGGCCAACAAAGGCAGGACTAGTGAACAATTAGGCCAATAAAGGCAATTTATTTCAATATATAAAAAAAAATTGTCCGCTAGTCTTGCCTTCGTTGAGCGATATGTATTTCAAGATAAGAATTTTGAGCACTATTTTGCGTCTATTAAAGGAGATTTAATGAAAAATTTAATGAAAAACAAGAAACAAAAGTTCCTTATTTTTTTCTATAATATACGAATCTATAATAGACTTTTCTATCAAAACAAAATCACCTTAGACTTTATTATGCCCGAAATAAGCCTTGAATCCAAGATCTAAGTAGTTTATTTGATAATCCTCTTCAAACAACTTTTATTTGAAATATTTTTTTTTTTAAATGCATTTTCGAAATATTTTGTGTCTAAATTAAAATGGCCAAATATTTCTGTCTAAGTATAGAATCCATAGGATTTTAACTATTAAGATTTGACCATCTAGAATTAGTCCATCTAGAACTTATTGCAAACGTGATCTTTCAATTGATAACGTTAATTTTTTCATATTTTTGTAATTTAAGACGTTCTTTTGTTAAAAGTATAAATAAATATTGAAGTCATCAATAGATTAAGAATATAAATACTAAAAAAATAAAATAAGATAAACTAAAAAAATAAAATAAGAAATTCGTAAATTAATTTAGATAAATATAAAATGCTAACAAATTAAAAAAAAATTAAAAGTATAGTGTAAAATATAAAGTATAGTGTATATATAATAAAAAGTATAGTAATCGTAAAATATCATTATAAAATGTTGGTGGTGATGTATCAATGAGACAGATTGATTTAAACTTTGCCCTCTGTACCGGTGTGGCATTTTATTAGTAGGTATCAATCGCAACAATCGAGACGGTCGGCGAAGAAGATAAGACTGTTTTCCTGCTGGCCTGGTTTTACATTTGCAAGCAATCTCAGACAATTCTGCAACAACGTTTGCTATTTTCGCAACGCGCCAAGGTGTCCTATTGTAATCGATGTGATGAAATATTTTGAAAATTAAGCGAAATATAAACTTCACCATTTTTACATATTCGGATAATCGTAAAGTAATTTTTTGTGACGTTTACTTTGCCTGGATTTTGTTAGTCATTTGTTAGTCATTTGGAAGTCATTTCGACTGTTTCAATATCATATGTTTCATTCTTTTCCATAATACATTTTTGATGTGATATAATTTATATTGAAATCATGCCATATCACTAGATTTATAAATTAGATAAAATTTGAAACTGACTTGATTAAATGATCATGAAGATGTTCAGATATCTATCTTTGGACATAAAAAATCATAAATACATACAATAGATTATTCAATTCAAATGTTATGAAATATTATAAACTTTTTCTCATTTTGATTAATTTTGTCACAAAATATTTCTCCAATGCTCCGAGTAAAATGTTTTAATTAAGATAATTAAGAAGATAACACCTTGTTACAGCGCACATCATAACAAGTTCAATGATCACGCAATTTTCAAGAACATGCACTTCAAATCTCAAAATGATAATTAAAATCCTAGGTGTTTTAATAAGAATAAACGGACGAAGCTTTTAACGCGTACATTTTTTATAGCAGTAGAATACTTTACGTTTCGCGTGTAACTACTTTCGATAAATTTCTCGATGAGATATTTCTCGAATTTATTTTCGACACGTCGGATTAATTATTCGATACGAATGCATGTTACATTTGCCCTTATCTGCTTTTTCCAATACAACGCTACCTCACACTGTTCAATTTGCCAGGCCAACTTTCCGCCCA